AGAATGAGGGGAAAGGATGCTGATGAGGACAGGGTGCGAAGGTGAGGCTGGGGATGAAGGGGAGAAGAGGTGGGAGAGGACAGGCAGAAGGGGTCATCATGCTGGGTCTGGTTAAGGCTTCCAGACCCTGAGTAGGCTTCCCTGGAGCTCTGTCTCTTGGCCCCGCTGCCTGTAAGGTTTGAAGGCAGAGCCAGTGGGCGGGACTAGACTTTTATCTTGGGGCGCAGCCCTAACCTCAGATGGTGACAGAGCTGGAGCCAGCAGGCGTTTTGCAAACCATCCCGATTGCAGCAGGCCAGCAGTCTCACTCGGGACGGCGGGTGGGGCCTGGGCTTATCTCCTGAGCGCAGTCCTAACCTCAGATGGTGACAAAGCGGGAGCTACAGGCGTTTTGCAAACCGTCCCGATTGCAGCAGGGCTGGATGGTCTGGCCAGGGGTGACAGTGCTAGGTGTGGGGAGCAATCGGGTTTTGGACAGTTTGGGGCTTTGGGGTGAAGCTTGGCTTGTGGGGTGTGGGGGATCCATGCTATGTACAGCTTGCCTCTACCTAACTCAGATCTGGGTTTCTGAAAGAGAAGGAGAGGTTCCAGCTCCACAGCAAGGTCGGGGCGGGGGGGGGGGTCCTCTCCCTAGTAGGAAGCCTTCCTTCTCCCAAGTCCTAGAACTCTTTTGCTGCTCCCTGAAGTCAGAATTGATGGCCAGGTGCAGCCATTTTCCTCTGAAAATACCCATCATTTCCCCATGGGGTAGCCTCAGGGAGTTTCTGATGGGCCTCCTCAGTGAACTTCTCACTGGTGCTTCTCTGGGGCCAAGCCAGGTCTGCTTTTGGGTGCAGCTGACAGGCCAGCCTGGAGTCCTGTCCAGGTTGGATCCTTCCCATCGGGGACCAGCTCCAGCTGAGTCCTGAAAGGAAAGATCTGCCGGCTGGTGGTGACGGAAAGTGACCGTCCCGGAGGAGTGCACAGGCCCTGGCTACTGTCGCCTCAGCATATCCCATATAGCCCCCTCCATCCCATGGTCCCCTCACTGGCTTGGGGCAGGGTAGGGTAGGGGGTGGAGGTGAAGAGGCCCCTTTCCACCCCCACAACCCCAACCGGGATCTTGCAACACTGGGATGGGGGCCCTGGGGGCCCAGGCATGTGGCAATCCATGGGGGGTGGGGTGGGGAGGTGTGCACCAAGCAGGGGGAGCAGCTTTCACAAGCAGCCGCCACCTCGGACTGACCTTGGCAGGCTCTCACCTTGGACAACTTCCTCCCTCTTGGTAGTATGTCCAACATCCTCCCTTCTCCCCCTTCCCTGGGGCCAAAGATCTGGGCTGTCAGCTCAGGACTCTTACACTGGTCCCAGTTTTGCTCATGAAGGAAAAGTGGGCCAAACTGTGGATTGTAAAGCCAAGGGAATGCAAGTGTGTGCTGTTTGGACCTTGATTTGCTGGTTTTCAAAGTTCCCATGCCCTTGCCCCAGGACTTTGTACTTTCCCCAGGCAGGGGTGAGACTAACCACCCTTCCCAGGGGTGCCTTTCTTCTGCCACCTCTGGATGCAGGCATCTCTGTGGCGGGGTGGTGGGGGAGGAGGGGCTCGGGGGTGCAGGGAGCCTGCTCCTTCAGAGGGGATGAAGGCTGTCCTGGAGGGAGGGTGGTGCAGTTCTGGCCTACTCTTCTTCCACGTTTCCATTCTGTCAGCCTCACCCGCTCTCCTTGCTTCTTCTGGACCAGGAGAGCTCATGGCCTTGGCCTTTGCTCTCCCCCTGCTCCCCTTCCCCCCAGTTTAGCACATCTGCCTCCTCTAGGACATTTTTTTTTTTTTAATTTATTTATTTATTTATTTTTTTATCACAACCATAGTGTATCTTTTTTTTTTTTTTTTTACATGTATTCCCCATCCCGGTCCCCCCTCCCACTTCCCTCTCCACCCAATCCCTCTGGGTCTTCCCAGTGCACCAGGCCCGAGCACTTGTCTCATGCACCCAACCTGGGCTGGTGAACTGTTTCACCCTAGATAATATACGTGTTTCAATGCTGTGCTCTTGAAACATCCCACCCTCGCCTTCTCCCAGAGTCCACAAGTCTGTTCTATACATAGGAGTCTCTTTTTCTGTTTTGCACATAGGGTTATCGTTACCATCTTTCTAAATTCCATATATATGTGTTAGTATACTGTAATGGTCTTTATCTTTCAGGCTTACTTCCTCTAGGACATTTTTAAGGTTTCAACTTCAGTGTTACCTCCTCCTGCTGTGTTACCTGCTGCAGGAGTGGTAAGCTCCAGCAGCAGCAGAGAGCCTTCACCCTCCCAGGCTGTAAGGCAGCTGCAGAGAGTCCTTGTCCTGTCCCCAGGCGTTAGGGGCTAAGCACCTGACTTCACTCTCCTGCAGCCCACAATCTCCTGCACTGCCTGAACACAACAGGTGGAGGAACTATTCAGCTAAGAGTTGGACTTATCTTGGTCACCACAGTGTCCTCAGAAACTTGTAAGGGCCTGGTATGAGAAAGATGCTCAACAAATACTTGTGGAATAATTTACCAAACCAGTTGGAAAACCTCATTCTGAAAGTGTGACTTCTGGCTACCTGTCTTCTCCCCGGGATACAATCTACCACAGGATTGCAGTATGCCCACCACTCTGCATCAGGCAGGGCCCAGGTATGCGCTTCTCTCTGGGGCTGTGGCTTTCCTCCAGACCCCATGGCAGGCACCCGCCCCGAGGAGCCCCGGGTGCTGGGAGCTGGGAGGAGCCATGATTCAGAACTGTGGGAAGGAAATAGGACTGATACTGAAGCAATCCAGGTCCCATCACCCAGAACCTTGAACATCAGTCCAGGGGCAGTGGTCTTGAGCTGAGAGGAGGATATCCGGAAGTTGAGTCACTTACCATGCTCTGTACAAACCCCCCTTATGCAACCCATCCCCTTGGGCTGAAAGGAAGGTGTGGGATTCTCCCAGTCATCCACTGAGATGGGCACCTCCTTCTTCCCAACTCAGGTAGACTAAACCATCTAGTGAGGTCCAGATCTGTCTGTCCAAACCAGACCTGGGGCAGGGGGATCCAGGGCACAGATGTGGCAGAGATGGTGCCTGAGTGGCACGGAGGCAAAGGCAGGAAAGAGACTGAGTCCTGAGGCAGGCACGGTGCACGCAGATGTCTGCAATGTGGAGGCTCTGACCCGGGGATGTGGAGGAAGGGGGAGAGGGGACTGGGAGGATCTACACCCCAGACTCTCTCCCTCTCAGAAGGTTTTTTCCTTGATGTCTAGCACTGCTATCTCAGCAGTGGCCTGTAAGTCATTGGTGACCTAGGAGAGACTGTAACCAGCCTCTATAATCTCTCATGTTTCTGATTCTATCTGACAATCCTTGATTACTGACTGAACGGGACCCGTGTGCCCTGCACTGTTCCATATGCCTCCAAGGCGAGGGTGTGAGTGTAAAGTAGAGAGACAGGTGTGTGTGTGGAGCCAGCAAAGGGCCTGGGTGAGCTTCCGGAGAATGCCTCTTATCCCTGTGGTCCTCAACTGCTTTATCTATCAAATGTGGCTCACACTATCTTCTTGTCTGAGGGCAAAGCCTACCAGATGATCTCTTGAGGTTGCTTCCAGCCCCTTTGAGATCTGTGATTTTATGGAGCTAATTTTGGTTCTGCATCTAACTCATCTCGTGACTCTATGAGTGAGTCCCTTCCCTCTCGGAGGCCTCGGTTTCCTCACCTGCAGAATGAGAAGTTTAGATGAGATCTCTGAGGTCCTTTCAGTTGTAGCAAAAGGAAACAATAACAAGTATTCGTGCTCACTGTGTGCTAGGCACTGTCTGTGAGCATATAGCATTACTACTCCTCCCATTTTGCAGATGTGGAAACTGAGGCACGGAGAGAAGTAACTGGCACGAGGTCTCACAACTAGCAAGTAGCAAAGGGAAATTCAAACTGAGGCTGTCAAGCACTGTCATATTATGCCTCTCAGGCTAGAGTTCTACGAAAAAACTGCTTTCCACATGGGGTTCATTGCACGGGGTGGGGGTGGGGGTTGTCATCCTCCTCATTATCAATTTTCTTGTATATGAACAGATCTCGAGGCCTTTCCCAACTAATTTGTCCCCCAAACACTCAGATTCTTTAAGGAACCTAAGCCCCGAGGAATGGAGGACAAAGGTGGGCACGGGTGGGTTGGAAGCATGCGGGTCTGTCAGTCTGGTAGACTGAAGTTTGGGAACTGGGGAGAAGGGATTGAGTCTCAGATCAGTTGCTAATGTGCTCAATTGTGGCCGACTCTTTGCGACCCCGTGGACTGTATGTAGCCTGCCAGGTTCCTCTGTCCATGCAATTTTCCAGGCAAGAATACTGGAGTGGGTTGCCATTTCCTTCTCCTCAGATCAATTGCTGAGTGACCATAAATACATCATAGCCATCTGGAATTTTCCCTTGGTCTCCTGGGGCAGGAAGTCCCAGAGCTACACGTCAAAGTGAGGGAGGGCAGGGCGAGAGTCGGCAGGCCTGGGCAGGAGGGCCGGGAGATACTGGGATCTCCACGCAAACCACAGAGCTCTGCTAACGGAATGTCCAGAGGCCACTCCAGGTCCTCTAGGGTGGGAGTAGAGTAGGCCGGGTCCAGGAAGAGAAGAGCAGAGGGACAGATACCAGGCCTGGCTGTGTGGTACGCTGGGGGACAGCTATGGGCAGCTTGTCTGCTGAATTTCCCAAGTGTTTATTTGGGCCTGGAATCAAGAGGTATACAGACTTAGCCTCGTGCATTCCCTACCCCCATACCCCCACACCCCACACTGGCCCAGGCCCAGTGCACAGTCCCAGCACCGAGTCATAAGCAGTTTTATTCAGCCACAGAATCATCATGCCGGGCCTGCCCTCCTTGCCACCCGCTGCCACTTGTCCATGGTCTCTGCCTCTGGCTGGGCCTGTGAGGGGCTCTGGGGCCCCAGCGAGGTCGGGGGTGTCCGAAGGGTCAGGCTGAGCTCGGGAGCTGGGGCCCACAGTCTTCCAGGTGGGCTCAGCTGCAGCCCCCCACACCCTTGATGAGGTTGGCGGCCTCAGGGATCTGGCGGAAGAGGTTGCGCAGCGTGTCCAGCTCCTGGGTCAGCTGCTCCACGCGGCTGCGCAGGCGCTCGTTCTCGGTCATGTACTCCAGCACCTTCTGCTGTGTCTCCAGGATGCGCCGCTTGGCCTTGTCCCGGCTTTTGCGCACCGCGATGTTGTTCCGCTCCCGCCGCAGCCGGTACTCCAGGCTGTCTTTGTTCACCGCCTTCTTGCCCTTGTGTGAGGGGCCCGCGGGGGAGGGAGCCTTGAGGAGGGGGCTGCAGGGGGGCGCGGCAGCGGCCAAAGGGGCCTGGAGGGGGAGGCACGGGGTGGGGGGGAAAGGAGTGAGGTCTGTGGGGCAGGGATCCCACCAGCCGGAACACAGGAGGGGCGTCTGAGGAGTGTGGGATTCAGGGCTAGCTCCTGGCCCCGTCAGAACGACCACTGCCCTGCTAGCGGCACAGGATCCGCTGCTTGGACCCAGACTGCCTTTCATGTCCCCCACACGCTCTGAGGCCATTTTCCTTCCATCTGTCTTGAGTCTCCAGTTCTACCCTCAGCAGGCATTTCCTCTTCTAGAAGCAGGAGGCCGCACAGAAATGTGAGGAGGGGGCTGGTGGGCAGCAGAGAAGCTGGAGGGGGATGCCCTTAGATCAGGGCAGGCCAGCTGGTCACAGGTCGACTGCAGGACACATGGGTTCCAGCCACACAGTGGGGTCTGGGTGGGAGTGAATTCACAGAGAGGCCAAGCGGGGTCGTGGCTGGGTGGCGAGCACAGAGGGCTTGGGTGGGTAGATTCCACACAGCAACACCACACACAGATCCCGTCCACACGGCCTCCCTCCAGCCCCTGGGTGGTGGCGGGGAGAACTGAGCTGTTCTTACCTTGAGGACGCGCAGTGGCTGGCTGGGTGCCGCCAGGGCCGGGGGCAGGTGCATGGCTGTCTGCCCACAGTGCGCCACTTGGTACTGCAGAGGGTTGTAGCCGCTGCGGCTGGCCCCCCGGCTGCCCTCGGGCCCCCTAGGCTCCTCCTTCACGGCCACAGCTCTGGGGTCGTAGCTCCCTGGGCTGCTGTAGATGCCAGGCCCCAAGGCCTTCCTGTCGGGGCCGAAGGTATGTGGGGGATAGGTGAAGGGCCGTGGGTCAGCCGGCAGGTAGTGGGGGAAGGCAGGGGTCCCGGGGCCCTTAAGGCCTCGGGCCTCAGGGGCCGGCTTCACGGCGAAGAGGTCGGAGAGAAGCTGTTCTTCCCCAGACTCGATGTAGGCAGACAGGTCGATGGAGGCCTCATGCTCACACATGTCCCCCAGCTCCCCAGGCCCCGCGCGGGCCCCTGAGAACTCCAGTGGCTGCTGGCCAGTGCGGGGCTCGCACTCGTAGTAGGTCCCGTGGGACATGGCCGGCCCGCCCCCTCGGCTCCCCGCCCCTGGCCGCCCTGCTCTTGGGGCACCCTCCGGGATGCTCGGCTGTCTGTCTCCCCCTGCCCTAGATCTGCCCTAGATCTGCCCTCTCCGATCTCCGCCGTCACCCACTCCTGTGTGGCTTCTCTCCTCCCTCCTCTGCTGTTTCCTTTTCCTTCCTCTCTAGTCAATGCCTCTTTTCTCTTCCCTTTTTTCCCCTCTCTCCCTGGGGTGACTCAGGGAGGGGTAGGGCGCACCCAAGAGGGAGGGATGTAAGCCTTAAGAGAATCGGGGCCTCTGGCCTATTTAGCAGGTGGGGGCTACCCTGGTCAGGCCCCAAGACAGGGTTTCTAAGATGCCTGGGAGCCGATGCTTCTGGGAATGCCTCCCCCTCCCCGTCGAGTCCAGGGGGTTCCAGAATCCTCGTTGAGGGCAACACCTCACTCTGAGTATCCTCCTCCCTCTGACTTCCAAATGTCCTGTGCAGAATGAGTGCCCAGGCAGAAGGAAGAGAGGAACCCTCTTCCAGTGCTGACCCCCAGCCTGATCCGAGCTCCTCCCTGGACACACCTCCTTCTCAGTACCCCCCCTCCCCGCCCCCGCAACAGTGCTGGGCTCCACCTACCACCAGAGCCACTCAGTTCCTTTTGTAGCCCTACCTCTCCAAACGACTCTCCTGGGTACAGGCCAGGGGTGTTGTTTGAGGGGTTTGGGAAGTAGTGATGGGCTTCCTAGATGGCTCAGTGGTAAAGAATCTGCCTGCAGCGCTAGAGATGCAGGAGATGTGGGTTTGATCCCTGGACAGGGAAGAACCCCTGGAGGAGGAAATGGCAACCCACACCAGTATTCTTGTCTGGAGAATCCCATGGACAGAGGAGCCTGGTGGGCTACAGTCCATAGGGTCACAGAAAATCGGATAAGACTGAACACACCCACACACACACACACAGGAAGCAGCGATAAGTCTGGGACCAAGCCATACACTAGGATCTGTCTTCTGGAGCAAGGCAGGCTCTTCTGCTAAGTTTTGCATGGGGTCTGTGCGATAGCCAAAGCTTGCACATGTTTCCAGCCCAGGTTACCTCTGGCAACCTGGCACTGTCCCTGACTGCCCTGTCTTGGCAGGGCTGGTCAAGGCTTGGGCTCCATGCCCCAGACGGCCTCAGCAACAGCTGCGCTCCTCTGGTGGCTCCAGCGCCTGGCCTGTGCTGCCAGAGCCTCGGGCTGGCGCTCTGCCCTGTACAGGTCCTGAGGGCTCTGCGCGTTTCCTGTGGCCGGGCCGCAGGGCTCAGGAGCTCGCTGCAGCTTGGTTTGCTCTTTTTCCTTCTGCATGGCCGTTCTCTGACCTCGATGCGTGTCTCTTGGGTCCACTTCCTCTTGTGAGGCTTGACAAAAGCCTTCTATTTTGTCATCACCTCTTCCTGGGGCTCTGTTTCAGGGTCTCAGGGAGAAGCCCACGGCTCGCTCTCTGCACGTTTGGTCTCAGACCGGGCCCCCCCTCCCTTCCCTTTTCTCTTTTCTCTGGGAACTCCCTACTCCCTCCTGTCAGAGACACTGGCTTTTACCTGTTACATTTCATCTGCAAAAGGGACTGTGTTGTTGTTTAGTTGCTAAGTTGTGTCTGACTCTTGCGATCCCATGGACTGTAGCCCATCAGGTTACTCTCTCCATGGGATTTCCCAGGCAAGAATACTGGAGTGGGTTGCCATTCCCTTCTCCAGGGGATCTTCCCAACCAAGGGGTTGAACCTGAGTTTTGGCAGTTCAATCTGGCAGGCAGATTCTTTACCACTGATCCACCCAGCTACAGTGAAAAGGAAAGGACACACAGAAATGTGTCACTGATTCTTTTGTCACCAGCAAGTGCTGTGAGTGCCCTGTGGAGGCCAAAAGTTTTCGTAAATTGGGCACAAGGGCCAGACCTCAGTGGTGCAGATATAGAGAGGCTGTGTACCATATTGTAGTTCAGGTGTTCAGGTGTGTCTGACTCTTTGTAGCCCCACGGACTGGAGCACAGCAGGCTCCCCTGTCCTTCACTGCCTCTTGGAGTTTGCTCAAATTCATGTCCCGTGAGTCAGTGATGCTATCTAACCATCTCATCCTCTGCCACCCCCTTCTCCTTTTGCCTTCAATCTTTCCCAGCATTAGACTCTTTTCAAATGAGTCAGCTCTTCACGTCAGGTGGCTAAAGTATTGGAGCTTCAGCATCAGTCCTTCCAATGAATATTCAGGGTTGATTTCTTTTAGAATCGACTGGTTTGACAGTCCAAGGAGCTCTCAAGAGTCTTCTCCAGCACCACAGTTTGAAAGCATTAATTCTTTGGTGCTCAGCCTTCTTTATGTTTCAACTCTCACATCTGTACATGACTACTGAAAAAAACCATAGCTTTAATTATACAGATCTTTGTCAGCAAAGTGATATCTCTGCTTTTTAATATGCTGTTTAGGTTTGTCATAGTTTTCCTTCCAAGGAACATCTTTTAATCTCATGGCTGCCGTCACTGTCCCCAGTGATTTTGGAGCCCAGGAAAATAAAATCTGTCACTGTTTCCACTTTTTCCCCTTCTATTTGCCATGAAGTGATGGGACCAGATGCCATAATCTGTTTTTTTAATGTTGAGTTTTAAGCCATCTTTTTCTCTCTCTTTCACCCTTATCAACTGTGTACCACATTGAACGCTAAAATAAAATGTGCAGATGTAGGGCTCCCTGCAAGTCAGGCAACTACCCCCTCTAGTTAGAGTGCCCCCCGTTTCTGTGCATAGCTTGAGGCACTTTCTCCAAAAGCTCTGACCTAGTATGAGGAATCTGCTAGTGTCCAGGAGACAGATCTCCCGTCCCTGACAGGGAGATTTCTACTTTCTCTTCATTTCAGAGGATCCTGTGGCAAACACTACCAGAGGGGAACTGCTTCAGTTTTTCAGCAGTGCCTCAGTTAGCCACCAGGTGGTAATATTGGTCCAAAATTCAGGACTTGAGTGGCTTCTTTGCTCAGGAACCATGTGAACAGTAGAGGGCAGGCTCCCACAGCCCTGGCAAGGGCAAGACGCCCAGAATGAGGAAGAGGAAACATGGCCGAGACGGAGGTTTGCAGGTCAGTTGCAGGGAGAGTGGGCAGGCAGAGAGGGCTAGGGCCAGGCCCTTGTCTCAATGAGGAGGCATTCTACCCCTCCACCCCCACAAATAGTCATGATGGTTAGGGCATTGCATTTTCTGGTGTTATGCTTTTTCAATAATTGAAATATACACTCTTCCTTGCAGACCATTTCCGTGCAGACCTGTGAATTAAATAGGCAAGTAAGCAAGACAGATGGTATTTTTTTTTTCTTGTCCAGTTTTATTTATTTATTTTTCCATTTATTTTTATTAGTTGGAGGCTAATTACTTTACAATATTGCAGTGGTTTTTGTCATACATTGAAATGAATTAGCCATGGATTTACATGTATTCCCCATCCCGGTCCCCCCCTCCCACCTCCCTCTCCACCCGATCCCTCTGGGTCTTCCCAGTGCACCAGGCCCGAGCACTTGTCTCATGCATCCAACCTGGGCTGGTGATCTGTTTCACCCTAGATAATATACATGTTTCGATGCTGTTCTCTTGAAACATCCCACCCTCGCCTTTTCCCACAGAGTCCACAAGTCTGTTCTATACATCGGAGTCTCTTTTTCTGTTTTGCATATAGGGTTATCGTTATCATCTTTCTAAATTCCATATATATGTGTTAGTATACTGTAATGGTCTTTATCTTTCTGGCTTACTTCGCTCTGTATAATGGGCTCCAGTTTCATCCATCTCATTAGAACTGATTCAAATGAATTCTTTTTAATGGCGGAGTAATATTCCATGGTGTATATGTACCTTCCTCATCCATTCGTCTGCTGATGGGCATCTAGGTTGCTTCCATGTCCTGGCTATGATAAACAGTACTGTGATGAACACTGGGGTGCACGTGTCTCTTTCAGATCTGGTTTCGTCGGTGTGTATGCCCAGAAGTGGGATTGCTGGGTCATATGGCAGTTCTATTTCCAGCTTTTTAAGAAATCTCCACACTGTTTTCCATAGCGGCTGTACTAATTTGCATTCCCACCAACAGTGTAAGAGGGTTCCCTTTTCTCCACACCCTCTCCAGCATTTATTGCTTGTAGACTTTTGGATAGCAGCCAGACAGATGGTATTTTTATTTCTGCTTTATAAAGGAGGAAAACGAGGCTGAGAGGCTGAGCTGCCCAAGGTCATGCAAGGATGCGGCTTTGACCTAGGTAGAGGGGCGGGAAAAGCAGTGGTCTAGTTCTAGGAACCCCCCCCCCCACCCCCCACCCCCCGGGGGAGAAGGGATAGGGAAGGGCCGAGCTCAGTGATTTAGAGAGAGCTCCTTTGCCCTCAGCCGGGCACCCTGTGGGAGGGGGAGACTGCGTCTGGCGCGGGCGAGTCGGCCCTGGAGGAAGCCGGGAGGTGTGCAAATAGGCCGGCAGGAAATGAGAAAGCTCGGGAGCTCAGCCTGGGGGTGAGATAAGCGGTCTCGGCCCCTCACCTCCCCGGCTGACGTCGCCGTGTTTCCTAGTAACCGGGGCGCTCTGGACGTCTCGAGCCGGGTGGTGAGGGGCGGGCGCTGGACGGGAAGCCGGTGGGGAGGGCAGTGCCAGTCCAGCGCCGGGGGGCGGGGGGGGGGTGGTCTGGGATTCGGCGGAGTTGAACAGGAACGGATAGAAGCCCTCCGTGGCCACCTGGAATCCTTTTCTCCCTGCTGCTGCAGTTGCTACCTGGGTGCCTTGACTGAAACAATGCATCTGTACTATCTTAATGACTTTGTATCAGGCCTCAGTTCAAACACCACCTCCCTCAGCAAGTCTCAAAGCTCCTTCTGTCACCTACCTCTAGGTGACCTTGAGCGAGTTACTTAATCACACTTGTAAAATAGCAGTAGCAATGCCTACTTTGTCGGCTGTTTAAACTTTGAATAAGATAATGTATAGAAAGCAACTGGGCTTAGCCGGTCAGTCTCCTTCCAACCCTCCTCTGACCACCCTCTAGTGGGGGTTTATCTGTGTCTCTGTGTGTGTTAACTGGCTTCAGTTAGCTGTGCGACCCCATGGACTGTAACCCGCCAGGCTCCTCTGTCCATGGAATTCTCCAGGCAAGACTACTGGAGTGGGGTGCCATGCTCTTCTCCAGAGACATGCTTCTGCAGCCTTGTCTGAAGCTTCAACTGGACAAGATTTTTTTTTTCTAATTTTATTTATTTAAATTTAGACTTTTTAACTTTCCATTGGGGTATAGCCTGTTACCGATATTGTGATACTTTCAGTTGAACAGTGAAGGAATTCAGCCATACATATATGGACAAGCATTTCTGACCTTGTAGGTCCCAGGCACTGCACAAACTTCAGGGAACTGGCCGGTCCAGTCCTGCCTGTAGAAGCTCAGAGCCCAGAGGTGTGGGCAGTGATGCTGTGATGTGCACATACATGTACCATGTGCATTCTTGTCTTTTCCCCATAAAGACTATTTGCTCCTTAAAGGAAGGTCAGACACCTCTTCAGCTAGGGTAACCAGGCTACCTGAACTAAAATTAGGGAGAGGTGGGTTGACATATATGACTGTTCTTATGGAGACAATGAAATAAAATAGTTGAAGTCTGTGCTGACTTAGAAAATTCAAGGGTAAGTTTGCTATTCCCACAGCGCATAGCAAAATCTTGGATACTGTGGTTAGAGAAATATTTACTGACTACATTAATAAATGAATGCATAAATAGCTGTGATTTCAGTGCTCTCCAAAGGCTCCCAAGTTCCCTAAGGTCAGAGCATCTGAAATTCCCCACATTAAAGTGACTGACATGGTTAAGACAGCATAAAGGCCCAGGTTAAAAATAAATGCATGTTGCCTAGGAGGAGACCCACATTTGCCCTTTTGAGCAGGTTGAAAGATCAGCAAGTGTCACCTTACAAAAGAGAGGGGGCTACCAGGGACAGGTGTCTCTAGGGACTGAGAGGGCTGGACTTGCTGGAATGGGGTGACATGAGGAAGCCTTGGGCAGCCTGGGAAAAGAACAAGCGTGTGTTGGGGAATTGGGGGCTCCCCAAGGGCGGATATGAGGCTTGGAGAAGGGCCTCTTGCACAAGACTGGCCTCTGCCCAGTTTGCCCTCACTCTTTTGGGCCAGCCGTGGGCTGGGAGATTCAGGAACCCTTTGAGATTAGGTTCGATCTTCTTTTTTCATCCCTCTGAAAGTGCTAAATAAGCTAAGCGACGTGCCCAAGGACACACAGCTGTTTGGTGGCTGAGCTGGGCCTCAGAGCCAAGAGTCTGTACCGCTGTGAATGGCAAGCCTCCAGCCTCAGTCTAGAATGCCAGCCACAAAACAGTTATGTTGGGGCTAGGCCGGGACTAGGAGTGGAGGCATCTTGCCTGCCAGTGTCCTCACAGCATTCCAGATGGTGAACAGTGATGTCCTAACACCCCCGTCCGCCCCTGCCACCTCCGCGCGCCTGTCAGCAGTGCCAGCTCTGGAATGATGCAGTCTCAGGACAGGCCGCGGGAGGGCTGCCCGCAGAGGGACTGGATCTAATCCTGTCAGCTTCCTCCAGAGGTTAACCCAGAGCGCCGGGAGGCACTTGTCCTTACCTTGACTGCCTCCTCCTCTTTCCTGGTCTCTCAGTCCTCCTCTTCTTCTACTTGGATGACTGAGTGGACCCCACCTCACCTCCCAGTCCCTCCCATCAGACCTCTGGCATCCAGCTGGGTGCTTTCCTAAGCCTCTTCCACTGGAGGGGGGTTGTTTCTCCACAGGCTTAGCCTGTTCCTTTCTGATGCCTTCCCCTTTGTTGACTGGGCCTTGGGAGACCACCCCTGCCTCCACCTCCCTCCACCCAGCTTGGCGCTGTCTGTCCCTCGCCCACGGCACCCTGGGTAGGGATGAGGTTCTCTTCTTCCCATATAGTTTGCTGGCTCTCAGCACAATACAGGCTTCCCGGGTGGTGCTAGTGATAAAGAACCTGCCTGCCAGGGCAGGAGATGTAACAGACGTGGTTTCCATCTCTGGGTCAGGAAGATCCCCTGGAGGAGGGCATGGCAACCCACTCCAGTATTCTTGCCTGGAGGATCCCATGGACAGAGGAACCTCGAAGTCTACAGTTCACGGGGTTGCAGAGTCAGAGACGACTGAAGTGACTTGGCACGCATGAACAGTACAATACATCAGTAGGAACAATACTACTCATGACTTCACGAAAGTAAGGAGTTTTTGGTTCAAAAGGAGAGGGAGCTGCTTGAATGTGCTAGCACTGGGCCCCAGGACACCTCAAAGCTATGGAATGCAAGGGCTTTCAGGAATGCCATCCTGGGAGGAACCTGCTAAACAAAGACCTCCCTCCTGACGAGACAGGGAGTGCCTGGCCACTCTGTCTTGGAAGGTCATTGAATTATCAACACCACCAACTTCATTTCCATTTAAAATTTTATTACATCAACAAAAAAGAAAACAAAAAACCCTCACAAAACAAAATTATAAAACCTAAACAAAGACAGAAGACTATTATCCAGGTATAACTAAAACCCTTCCTGAAGGGGAGAAAAAAACCCCAAAACTTAAAAATCCCAAAGAAATAGAAATGCCAGCTTCAAAAATATTTATCCAAAAAGTAAGGCATCCACTTTACAAAACAAACAAACAAACAAAAAAAAAACCAATAATTGGAGGAGGTTGGACGAATGACAAGAGGGAACAAGAGGATGGTCCCCTGATCTTCCAGGGGCCAGCCCCAGTCTACCTGGAGTCCACTCAGAAGGGGCCACAACTTGGAGCAAACCAGCATCTCACTGATGCAGGTTCAGGCAGGCCAGGTGAGGAGCCAGAGGCCAAGTAGGCCAGAAGGGCTCCCCAGGTATTCCAGTTGCAGCAAACTGTATGAGGAGTTGGGGTGAGGGGGACTTCTGCCTGGGATAGAAGAATCCCAGTCCTTAGCCCAACAGATGAGGTGGGGAGGCTCCAAGGGCCCCGGGCAAACAACAGTACCTTCTCTGGAGCATGGGGAACAACAGTACTTTCTCTGGAGCAGGGGGAATGGCAGCCCTGCCTGCAGGACAGGATACCTGCAAGTCTGCAAACCACAGAGAAAGGGTTTTTCTGAGCCCTCCACAGTGACTTTTTGCCATGGCCCTCTCATCCTGACCTGGAGGCTGTCCAGACAGGACCTTGATGGGAACAGGAGGAAGGACGGATGATCTGAGTTGGGGGAGGAACTGGCCTTCAGAATACACTTTCTTCCCAGTTTTCTACATGAAAGGCTAGGCACCTCTGGGGAGATGGGAAAAGCCCTCCCCCCTGGGAAGGTGTGACTGGAGGGCTAGAAGCAGGGGGTATTTTTAGGTTCCAGTTCTTGGATGGGAGGTAACTTAAGGCTGATTTGGCTCAACTTTCAGGCATGAAGGGCTTGGGGAGCCTTCACACCATCAGTCCTGACTAAGGTCCAAAGAAGAGAAGAGCAGGATGGGGGTGCCAAAAGGCAGGATGGGGGTGCTGGCATTGCTGGCTGCCTGGGGCTGTGTAGGGGCATTGCTGTGGGGGGTTACAGGGTGGTGGGCTCCTTTCCATGGAGGTGGGAGGGAGGAGGAGTGGAGCTGCTTTGTCATTAGGAGAGAAATGTCCACTACACTGATAATAAGCAACTTTCTGGCTTCAGGAAGCTTTGGCACCGAGTTGGGGGGAGGATACAGGGGCAGAGGCAGGGCTGGGTTTCTGCAATCTGAGCCTTTCCCAATCTGTTCCACAGGCCTGGCTGGGGGAGGGGGAGAAGGCAGTTCTCCAGCCCATTGGTCCTCAGCTCAGTGGGGACGTGCTGTCCCGAGGAGCCTTACTTTGCACAGGGGGCCCAGGCCAGGGTGGTGGCCAGGAGCCGTGGGGCAGAGGGAAGCATCACCTCTGATTTCTTGGGTCCCTGGTGAAGGGAGGGGGACTTGGGTCTCTCCAGCTGACCTTTCATGGTGACAGATTTGGTTGGGTCTGTCCCTCCCAAGTGACTCACTATTGCTGCCACTTCTCTTGGAGCTGAGGCCTCCCTTGGGCTCAGGAATGGGGAGGGAAGGCAGTACTGAACTCAGGTTCCTGAGGAAGCGACTGAGGGTGTGGACCCCGGAGGGAGGGCTGTGAAGGGCACCCCTGGCAGCTCCTCTAGCAGCCGGAGCTTGGGCAGCTCAGGGGAGGGGGGGCAGTCTAGGAAGGGAGAGGTGGCTTTAGACACAGGCCTTGGGGGTGAGAGGAGGCTAGATCTTTGGGTACAAATGTCAATCTTTGTTTACAGTTTCTCACCACCCATATCCAGGTCTTGTGTCTGCTTGACAGAGGCAGAGGTGTGTGTGAGTTTGTGAGCGAGTGTGTGTGTGTGTTTGGGGGACCTGGGCAGAGGGCAGAAAGGGAGAGGAGGGAGGCAGCTGAGAGGGGAGGGTGGTCCTCAGGGCTCCACATCCTTGTCCTTGGAGGCAGGGGGCTGGCAGATGGGCTGCTGCTGCTCCATGTCCTGGTTCCTTGCCTCCATCTTCGGATCCTTATCCCCCTTGGGGTACACAACCACACACATCTTCTGACTCACCAGGGTCAGCAACTCTGTAGGCGGAGGCCATGCAGAAGCCAGGTCAGTGCTGAGCATCCCACCAACCCACCCAACCAGGCCATGGCCCCTTCCCACTCTCCTGCCTCAGCGTCTGGCCTCAGCTAGGCTCCTCTAGGAGACTCCCTCTCCAGGAGACGGCCACCCTGCCTGCCTCCTCCATTTCTGGAATGCCTATTTGCTGGCCACTCCACCTCATCAAGGCCCCAGGCCCACTGACCACCATTTCTGGGGTCTCCACCCAGCCCATGCCAGCTTCTCCAGGATGGCCACTCTGGCAGGCCTAAGGTCTGTGTGGAAATGCCCACAGTTCTCCTTTCCTCAGAGGTCTCTGAGCAGAGACCTTTCCTGTGGTAACCCTTCCTCCAGTGCTCTGTAGACAGCCTCCTGATCCTGGTGGGGCTCTCGAGCCAGACCAGTGACCACTATACTCCAGACCAGGGGCCCTCTGGCTGCCCATAATCTTCAGCAACTCACCAATGAACTTATTGAAACACCTGGGCTTGTGCTGCCAAGAAACACCCAGGAAGTAGACCGGCACCCCTGTCAGCATGATGGCCAGGCCGATGCCACACACCACGGGCTCTGACCACAGGCTGAAGACCAGCAGGAAGGCCCAGAACAGCAAGTAGATGATGGGGAACAGCAGGCTGACCTGTGGATCAGAGTCGCTGTTACCTGTGTGGACCCTGTGGCCCCCAAGATCAGGACATCTTCCCTCTTCTTCCCAAAGGGAAGCATTTGGAGGGCAAAGCTGGGCTTCACTCAGCTCTGTGGCTCTCCCACCCCGAGTCTTGGCAGGGCAAGTGCTCTGTCGAGAGATGTTGGTGAACATGGGCAGTGGGACAGTACGAGGATTTTGGGCGCCTAGGGAGGGGGCAATCCTCATTGTTGTCCCAGGAGGGATCAAACAAGGCTTCATCATGCAGCTGCATGCCCACGGTAGTCACAGAAGCCCATGGGTGTTGAGCTAGATGGTATATTGGTATATGTCTGCTGAGGGCTGAAGGTGAAGGAGAGCAGAAGAAATGAAATGGGGCAAGAAGGAGAGCTTCTGTCAACCAGACCCCTATCCTCTCCCAGCTGGCAGGATGTGGGAAGTGTCCCTCCTCTCACCAGAGTCAGTTCCAATTTGTTTTAAGCCATTTGAGAGGATAAGCCTCAGACCCAAGAAATCAGGAAAGCTAGTATGGTATAAGGCAGCCTGGGACCTTGTTTACTTCAGGAAGAAGCAAATTCTACAGGCCCAACATCCTCTTGTTGACCACAGGTGGGAAGTCCCCCATAGAGTCTTCTTCAAGGTTCTAGACTCACTGCCTTTCTCCTCCTTGTCCTCTCCTCTCGGAGGGTATGCAAGTGGTAGGGAGATGGCGTTATTCTGCTTCCTTTTCCCTCTAGCACACTTTCTAAGCATGGCAGGAAAGTGGCAATGGAAAACAGAGATGTGAAGAGCATCTAGTCTCCCTGTGTTTCCAGAATGTGTGTTAGCTGCTCAGTTGTGTCTGACTGTTTGCAACCCCATGGACTAATGTAGCCCACCAGGCTCCTCGGTCCATGGGATTCTACAGGCAAGAATACTGGAGTGGGTTGATGGGCACTCCTCCAAGGGGTCCTCCTGACCCAGGGATTGAACCTGGGTCTCCCGCCTTGCAGGCAGATGTTTTTACCACCTGAGCCACCAGGTAGGCTCATTTCCAGAATAGGATTGTTCAAATAGCTCAGGGATATGTCCTCTTCATCCAAGTTGCAGGAGAACTTATAGCACTCTAGTGTATGTTCTGAGCAATCCCATTTATTTCTATCACAAAATTATTTCTTGCACAATCAAGAGATTTAACAGGCACCCTACTATGTGCAAAGCTATAGTAGTTTAAAAAGGGAGAATCATGGAGTGCTGAAGGGGACTGGGGAACTTCAAGAAAGAGAGGCTCTTGAGTATGGAAAATGGTTAAAATTTGGAGAGGCAGATGGGAGAAGGAAATGCATTCTGGGATGAGATGGAGAGACTGAATGAGTAAAGCCAGTCATGCGGAGGGACAAGGAGGTGACTGGTCAGATTAGAAGGTCCAGGAAAAGTCAGCTGACTTTTTAAAGACTTAGAGCCACAGGAAACAAAGGAATGACATGATGGAAGGAATGACATGATGGAAGTTATCAGGTCATCGAATCTATTCCTCCAGCTGCAGTTTGCTCTGGTCCCGTGGAGAATGGAAATGGCTGCCCCCTTCACACATGACCTTTGCTTCCCAAAGGGTCTCCCACCATCATGGAGATGATGAGGCTTGGTCAGCAGTGAGAACAAGGTGATTTAAAAAAATCTGAGCTCAGCTAGAAGCAAGTGGAGGAGGAGGAGGGGGCCCCACAGGGAGGTTCTAGCACCTTAATGGGGCGGTTGATGTCCGGCTTCTTCCAGCGAAGAACTATCTGTCCAGCAACCGTGACGCCATAGAAGAGGTAGTTGATGAAGCCCACGTAGTTGATGAGCGTGTATATGTCGCTGGTGACAAGCATCAGCAGGGTGGAGATGCACTGAGGGGTGTGGAAGAAGCTCATCAGTAATCAGAAAGGCACTGGGAGACTGGAGGAGCTGTTTACTGGTGGCGGGCTGCTCCCCTGCCTCTAGGCAGACAATGCCATTCCACAGTGGATCTCTCAAAATGGAGACTTTATAGCCTCTCCTAGAAACCCACGTCATTGCTAACAGCTTCATCACCAGGAAGTTCTTTCTTACTGCAGGAGTGATAATCAAAACATTTAACCATGGGTACAACATGGGCACTAACCACTCAGAACAGATGCTGGCTGTATACACCTGGACTGGCAACGCTGGTGGCACCCAGCTCTATGCCACTCTGGTCTCATTTATATTTCTCCCTGGTTGTAGCTCAAGCTAATTTTGTCTTTTATCCCTTAGGGAAGACTGTTAACTGGAGATTAAGGTTTATTCTTGCCCTCATCCTCTCTTCCTGGTTGAGTCATCTAATTTATTTTTCTTCCTTCCTTTTTTTTTTTAAATTAAAAAAATGTTATAAACAGTTATATAGCACTTCCTAAGTATCAGGCTCTATTTTTAGCATTCTACAAATATTAACTCATGTAACCCTCATAACGTCCTTCTGAAGTTTTCTTGACAGAGTTCACTTCCCAACTTCAAAATCATCTCAGTGGCTCTCTCAGAAGCATATTCTCTCCCTCTGCTAATTTGTTAAGGCCAATAAAAGGCTCAGTTCTCCTGTAAGATCTGATGGTGAAAATAATCAAGAATTTAAGGGATAAAAAAGCCAGATTCTATGTAAATCCATGGCTAATTCATTTCAATGTATGACAAAAACCACTGCAATGTTGTAAGGTAATTGGCCTCCAACTAATAAAAATAAATGGAAAAAAAGAAAAAAGCCAGATTCTTACTGTAGTTGCCTTGTAGTCATAAAGAAAAGAAAGAAAGTGAAGTCACTCAGTTGTGTCCAACTCTTTGCGACCTCATGGACTGGAGCCTACCAGGCTCCTCTGTCCGTGGAATTTTCCACGCAAGAATACTGGAGTGGGTTGCCATCATAAGCCTGCACCAATGGCGAAAACTGGGAAAAAGCTTGTGGCTCACTGGGAGCACTGAGTCTTCTCTAGCTGCCTTTCACTACTGACCAATCAAGATGACCTTCTTCCTGTATCAGAACATTCTGAAATTTCCCCTAATGTACAGTGAATGCCCTTGACTCTTGAGAGCTCTGCTCTCTGGTTTAACTGCTTCTCTGTTATACCAAAGTCATTTTTGATATTTTAGTTGGGATCTAGAAGAAAAAAAGAAAAAACCCAAAGCCTCACTGGGGATAATAAGTCTTTTCTCCTTCTGTATGCTCTGTATAAATGATTCTACTCTGGTGTAATTCCGCCTCCATTTACCAGACACCCCCCTTGTTTCCTTTTCTCCACTTTCAGTTTACCAGTCTTCCCTGCTGATTTTTCTTATTTGGTGTGACCCCAGATTTGGTGAACACCAGATTTATTTCAGTGGTGTTTCCCCAGAGACTGGCAGAGCCTCCTCGGGCAAGAGGGTTGATGGGGAGGGGTGGGAGTGTGCTGTGATCAGCCAGGAGCAGAGGCCCAAAGCTGCAACCCTGTGGGTAACAGGGGCAGGAGGAGCCAAGAAAAAAAGCTTCTTTGTGAGCTTGTAGAATCTGGAAGCAACTACTTCAGTCTGACTCAAAAGGATGGAAGAATGAGATGAGCCAGCCTGGGAGCCTTAAGACATTTCAGGACTCAGGCTCCTTCCTTGCTATATCTCTTGATACTAATCAGGCCCATGTATACCATTTGCTAGGGTAATAGCACAAGGGTAATAGCGGCACGTGTGGGAAGTATGAACTCCCAGTTCAAAATAGCACAGAGAGGGAGGGCGTGTATAGGGCTGGCAGAGGGAGGGACTCTTACTGTGAAGAGCAAGGCTGGGATGGGGGTGCAGCGCTTCACGTGGATCATGGCCAACACGCTGGGAAGGTGGCCCTCCCTGGCTCCAGCAAAGAACAGCCTGGCAGAGAGAAAAGCAGGTCAGCCCGGGATGGCCCATGGACCATCCAAGGATGCTCCCTCCCGAGCCCAGCTCCCTCATCCAGGTCCATCTCTGCCTGTACAGAAGCATCTCCACTCTAGCCAGGTACTTCTCGTGCATACCTTCCAGCCCACTAGTCAAAGGACCCACATTCACAAATGCAGGTGCAGGCAAACCAGAGGCAGTCAGTGGATACGTGGATGGATTCAGGGGTGCAGAGACCTTGAGTGTGGTCTGGGGTTCCTGATGATGTGCTGTCACTCTGAGATTCTCTCACAAAGCTTGGAGAGCTGTAGGAGTAGCCCCTCTCCTTTGCTTAATGCCTTAATTCCTTAAAAAATGTGCCTCCTCCCTCAGAGGATATAGGTTATTTGGGGCATGGGGAATAAACTGTACATGAAAACATATATCCTGGTCAAGAAGTAGTTGCCTTTGTTGGGGGTGGGGAATGGATATGGATGAGGAAGGGACACATGAGAACTTGGGGTGGGGTGGGGTGGAATATGTGGAAATGTTCTATATCATCATGTTTTGGGTGGTAGTTACATGGTTGTCTACAATCGTCAAAATTCATCAATCTGAACACTTATGATCTGGGTATTTTGTGGTATGTAAATTATACCTGAAAATGTATATCCTTAAGCTACTTATTCTAATCCCAAAAAACCATCCTAAAGAACTGCATACAGCTAGTAAAAGGAGTACATACAAAGATATTGTAAGATAAAAAAGATTGAAAAAAAACCAGACAAGAAACTTAAACTTTTTTTTTTCCTGCACTGTGCCATAGCTTATAGGCTCTTAGTTCCCTGACCGAGATTGAACCTTGGGCCCTTGGCAATGAAAGTATGGAGTCCTAACCACTTAACTTCCAGGAAATTCCCAAAAAATTATTTTTTAAGTTTAAAATAATGATAATTTTTCTTTTTGAGATACTTGTAGACTCACATGCAATTGTAAGAAATAACGTAACCTTATGTAGACTTCATCCAAAACTCTCCCATTGGTAATATACTGCAAAACTATACTATAGTATCATGACTTGGATATTGATGTTTATAAATTATTTTTAAAAAGAGATTTTAGGGAGTTCCTTGGTGGTCTAGTGGTTAAGAATCTGCCTTCCAATGCAGGGGACACAGGTTTGATCCCTGGTTGGGGAACTAAGATCCCACATACTGTGGGGCAACGAAGCCCACACACAACTAGAGAAGCCCATTTGATGCAGCAAGACCCAGCGCAGCCAGGATAAAAAAAAAAGAGAGAGAGAAATTTTAACATGAAGAGCAGCCCTTCCTCCTCTTTCCTCTCCCAAGAAAAAAGAGAATACTGTAAGCTGTTAGGAGTCATTTACATATTAGTAGAAATCAGACCACTTTTTCTTTTTTCTATGATTTTGGAGGGAAAGGATCAGCTAAGGGGTGAGAGGAAGGGGATGTGATGGCGGGGAGAAGAATGGCACAGAGTCAGCACGCTGGGTGGTCTTAAGAGAACTGTCACTTTGTCATTTGGGTATGGGGGAGAGTGGGGCTATCAGCAGCGGCTCCTGAGGAGTGTGAGGGTTGATTATGGCCCCCAGTACCCATATGCACACCATCGTTGCCACCATCAGCAACCTCACCCACGTCATGGTTTCATGCAGCTACACGGCATCGCCTCTGCAGGGCAGCCTCATGCACCCAGCGGGGCCCCAGGTGCTCTGGGGGCCTCACCATGCACAAAACCAGGGTGTCATGTTCACATGTCTCCTTCACATGCAGCCAGGACCAAGGGAGTTGACAGGTCCAACAGCACTGGCAAGTCAAGTTCACAAGAGACAATCGTTGCCCGGCTATCCAACCACGGAGCAGACGTGACATTAAGTGCGACACACGCCTACTCCTCAGGAAGAATCATCCTCTCCCTTCCCCCAAACACAAAGGAGTAAGAGAGAGAAGGAGGGAAGGGAGGAAGGAACTGGAAAGATGAGTTGAGGAGGCCTGATGGGTGAGCTGTGCCTCTGACTCCGAGGCTGAGCGCACCGGGCCGCCGCCTCTGCATGCACACACAGCTAGACTACATGCACGCAGACCGCTGCTCAGCCTGCCCGAGGGACAAACCCCACTCTAAAGCGACTGGGGCCAGTCACTCTCCTCCAATAGATCCCAGAGAGCCTCATGGGTCACTGATCTTCCACCGCTCGCCCTCGGCTGAGGCCTCCAGGTGGCCACTGCTCCTGTGTAACACGCATACGAGGTTGCCGCGGGTGAGTGCCAGAGGGTCCTGGGGTGCAGGGGACGCCCACACGCCCTCTTCCCTGCCCTGCCCTCTTCCCTTCCCTGTCCTGAAAACACGACACTCGTTTGTCATTTCATGGGAACTCCTCCCTGATGTGACTGGTGGCTTGGGAAGCAGCTGAACTCAGGGGCTCACTGCTAGTGAGTAGGACTGTGCCCTTGAGGGAGAGGGGTTTCCTAAGAACCCTGGGAAGACCCTGAGCCACAGCAATGGAAATCGTCCAGCATCTGCTGGGCCCAACTGCCCATTCTGGAGACAACAAGACGGGACATCAAAGAGGGGGCCAGGTGTCCAGGTGTGCGGAGGTAGGGGCTGGGGACTCCTGGGCCCACTCACACCTTGGGCTTCCCTGAGAGTTTGGGGTGAGGGATATGGCTTTGGACAAATGTTTCCCTTCCGTTCTTCCCTAGTTGTCTCACTTCACACCCCTACCCGAGTCTCATGGTGGCCACACAAGGGCCTCTCACAGCTGCCTGTCTGTTCAACAGGGAGGAGCCTGCACCCTCAGGGCACTCAGAGATGAGCCGGTTCCACCTGCAGTCTGGACCCAGGTCTTCCACGGGAGGTCAGCCCAGAGGCCCCAGGCAAGGGTCCCTCCTGGTCCCTTTCAGAGTGGGGTTCCTTTCCAGCCAGTATGGCCTGTTTCTAGGCAAGTGGAAAAGGGACTCCGAGGCTGCAGGCAAGACGCTGTCCTGCTGCCAAGCACACAGCCCAGGCCTCCTCAGCCTTCTGCTCCTCTGGACATGAGGTGGGAAGGCTGGTTCTTCTTGCCACCACATGTAAAGCCACACACATCGTGCGTCATCACATGAGCAGCACAGGCTCCTCCGCCAGGCGCCCACACAGAGCCCCGTTGATGGAGACAAGCCCCCCACATATACAGAGCAATACGCACAGCAGAGGGGTCCCTGGCCCTGGAAGGGCCTGGATGGCACTCACCGGGAGGAGGTGAAGAGGGACCCATTGACTCCTCCAAATGTAGACAGGGCGACAGAAATGGGCATGATCCAGGCCATGACTCCCAGGAGTTTCTCTCCAAAAGTCTAAGAGGGAAAACAACAGGGTGAGTAGAGAAGGCGAGCTCACAGCCTTCCACATGCATGTCACTGCTGAGAAGGCTCCATCCCAAGCCCACTCCTGCTGAGTCTCTCGGGTTAAAGTACTGGGAAGGAGGGACAGCGGAATCTGTGTCCTGGCCCCTCATGCACCCCCAGTTCTCTTGGTGATGACTTCACAGTGGGGAGTCAGTAATGTTTGGGACTGAGTATCGAACAAGTCTGTGTGTGGTGGTGATAATAATAATAAACATTTGTTATCCTTGCTGTATGGATAAGGAAACTGAGGCACAAAGCAATTAAGTAGTTTGCCTAAGATCACACACCCAGAAAGTGGAGGGTGAGGACCGGAAGCCAACTGTGTGAGTCCAGGCCTGGCGTACAAGGTACGCTAGTGAGTCAGGAGGGCTGGGGTTCAAATCATAGCCTAGCATTTAGGAGCTATGAGATCTTCAGCAAAGTTCTTAATTTTTGAGCCTCAGCTTTTCCATCTGTAAAACAGAAATAAATCTTAATTCATAGAAACAGAAGTTATTGCGGGAGAGTGGGGGTATAAGAACAAACCACTACGTAGGCTAAGGAAGAAAAGGTGGTGAAGCTATACACTAGTCTTCATGTATTGAAAGGATATAAAATGTTGGGGGAGCAGCTCTTTCCACATTCTCTGAGCCAGGGACATACTTGAGTTACAGCATTTGTATTTATATATAATTTATAGCACATTTGGGGGAGGGGTTGTTTAGAAGAGCTGTCCTGTTGGGGAGGGTTGGATGTCTGTGAACTGACTACCGCCTCTTTCTTTACAGTCTTCAGAGATGAGACATGTGATAACAGTGGCAGGGTAGGCCGTGGTCCAGGTGAAGCCACATGAGGGAACTACATGGTTCCCAGGTCTTTTCCAGGTAACAAGGACCACAATGCCTTGGACCTGCAAGATCCTTTCCCCAAAGAACACAAACTGCACACGCTTTTCCCTGATGAGGGAAGGAGTCAGGATGTCCAGGTGCGGTTATAGAAGCAGAGGGAAATGGCCTGTCTTGTGAAAGATAGTGACTTTCTGAGGAGGAGCCTATCTCCTTTACACAGTCATCACATATCGAGTTTAAAGTGTCCTCGGTCAGCCGTTAGCTCTTCCCAGCTGGCTCACTGGTAAAGAATTGGCTTGCCAAGGAGACTCAGGAGATGCTGGTTCAATCCCTGGGTTGAGAAGATTCCCTAGAGAAGGAAATGGCAACCCACTCCTGTATTTTTATCTAGGAAGTCCTGTGGACAGAGGAGCCTGGTGGGCTACTGTCCATAGGATTGAAAGAGTCAGACACGACTTGGTGACTAAACTACCACCACAGATCAGGCGTAGGCAAACTTTTCTGTCAAGGGTCAAATAGTAAATATTTTGATTGCTCCTAGGCACTTGAAGATGTGGCTTCTGCCCTGAGGACTTGACTTCCAAACCCAAAGTCATGGATCAGGGGAAAGTGAGTGGGACTAAAGCAGTGAGGCTATGTCACCGTTCCTGGTTTGAGGGCATATGAGAGTTTTTGCTTTTAAATTTTTATTGGAGTATAGTTGATTTACAATGTGGTGTTAAGTTTTGAGGGCATGTAAGTTTGATTTCTATCCTTTTCTTAAGTTGAAGTATAGTTGACTTACTGTTTCAGGCAAAGCAACTCAGTGATATATATATATATATATATGTAACTTTATATATATAAATGATATATATATATATATATATCTTCCTTTTCAGATTCTTTTCCATTCCAGGTTAGTACATGATATTGAATATATTTCCCTGTTCTATACAGTAGGTCCTTATTGTTTATCTATTTTATATATAGTAGTGCATCTCTGTTAGTCCCTATTCCTAATTTATCCCTCAAGTTTAATTTCTTACCACAGCGACTGCATTTGATGCCAGCAGCTCCTGGGGGGACATCGCAGTGACGTAAGCCACATTGGCAAAGACATACACAAATGTGACCAGTGGGATGGAGATGAAGATGGCTCTGGGAAGGTTCCTGTGGAGGGAGAGGAGGTGAGAGGGGCAGGTCTGGCACCTGGACCACCTGCCTCGTCAGGGGGTCTGGGGAGTGCCTTCCGTCTCCCTGCAGGAAGCTGCCCGTGCAGGCTTCTGTGATGTTCCCTCTATTTGGGGAGTGGATTTTGTCTCCATATGGGCAGGACAGTTGAAAGGAAACTAGACAGCTTAGGCTGGACATACACTCCATACCTGTTTATCTCTTCCTGATCAGAGTCTTCACAATGTATTCCCCCACCCCCCATAATTCCTACACCTCAAGACAAAGACCTGCCTGTTGCAAGACAGGTGAGTAAGATGCCTGGAATTCTCTCAGGACACATTTCATTCTCTAAGGCAGTGGGGTTATCTCAGCACCACTTTCAGCTTGTAATCTCCTCCAGGGAAGTCACTGGATTGTTTTTCTCCTGCAGGGTGAGTGATAAATGGTGTAAGTTCCTGGAAAATGAACCATTTCTTCAGGCTAGACCAGATCATGGTTGGAAGGGGGCTATGGGGAGAAGTGGGCCCTGGGCACCTAGCTCCCTCTTTCCAGTGGCAGGTGCCTTGGATATTGAAGGGGGAGGGGGAGAGCTGTTGTAACTCACTTGTAGGGATCGACAAGCTCCTCAGTCACGTAATTTAGAAAGTTCCAGCCTCCATAGGCAAAGGAGCCCTGAAGGAAAGCCAGTGCGATGAGGCCGATGTCGGGTTCTTGGAAATTATCAAATGCATTCTTTGGCTCCAGCCAGAAGTACTGTCCTGTGGACACACGGACAGGAGGCTGCTCAGAGAGACACATATCAGCGCCCGGCAGCCCCAGGTCCCTGATCTCCAGCTAACCCCACATATTGGTGAAATGGGGCCAAAAATGGGCCGAGAAGTTCAGGACCCTCCAGAACATGATAATGATGAGTCCAAATCAGGGCTCAGGTCCAAAGCACAGCTCTGAATGTTCCTTTGTCAAAAGGCAGGGTTCCTTGGAAGGAAAGACCAGGAGAGGTTACTGGGCAGGGCAGGGTAAATGGAGCTGGCTCGCTAGGACTCAGAGGTGCAGGAGTGGAGTCACTGGCAGTCTTCTGACCACCCTCCCTCATATCCAAGTTTGTACATTTCCATGGAGAAAGCAGCAAGAATAACAGACACTCAAACATAAGCTTCTGTGATGCTATTAGCTCAAGCTTGCTGTGCTTTCTTTGTCAATATCCTCCTGCCTCTTCCTAGGGTGTGTATTTGGTCTGTCTTTTCATGGAATAAATCTCCTGAAGACGGGGAATCTTCAGTGGACAGCTTTCCAATTGCCTTCTCAGCCCTCAGCACAGTATCCTGTACACAAGGGGTCCTCAGGAAAGACTGCTGACTAAGACTGCAGTGAGATACGGAGTAGCTGACCATACTTTATACCTTCACCCATAATCGAGCATTTAGACAGGAAATAATGAGATAAGAGTGATCCGGAGAAGGCATTGAGACCAGATTAGGAGAGCCTCATATCTTGAAAAGACAGCCCAGCGATTTCCTTAAGTCTCAACTCCTGAAAATAATACCACCTGCTAAAGAAGTGAATCCAACGGATGAAAATAATTAGGCCCATTATATAGCTGAACCTTAATTCTGTTTCCTGGAATCAAAATCCAGACACACCATACCACCTCTAGAGCTTGTGGGCGGGTGGGAGGTCCCCGTTTGTCATCTGACTTTCTCTAGGAGGTAGTGACACTAGGCAAAATCTAGTGCTGCCATGGGAACCATGGAAACCAAATACAGACTCAGGCGTGGAAAGGGCCAATCCAATGAGGAATGTTGGCAGGGGCCCCAGGAATGTAGAGCTCTTTCTTGTGGAGCTGAGTAATTTCTGAAATGTGTAAAAATCTCTGTCTCCCATTTTAAGATACAGACAAGATAAAATATAAGATACAAAGAGCCTCCCTGGAGCTGGGACAAACAGCAATGTCTAGAAATCTGGAATCTTCATCTACCTGTGCTGGAACCATGAGGTCAGCAAGGGAGGATAGAAGTTGGCACCGCAGGGGGTGCTCAGCTCCCAACCATCCTGGGTAAATTGGCTTCTTGTCCCCTTTGTCAAGCAAGTGAATAAGAAAATTCATTCAAGGACTTCCCTAGTGGTCCAGTGGTTAAGGCTCCCAATGCAGTGGGCCCTAGTTTAATCCCTGCTCTGGGAAAACTCAATCCCGCATGCCACAACTAAGACCTGGCATAGCCAAATAAATAAATAGTAACAATACATAAGAAAAGGATAGAATTGGGACATCTCAGGTTGTGCGCACATCCAAAGACAGTGTGAGGGTGTGTGTACATGCAAGGGTTGGCACGTTCTGATGATACCCACCTTTGCAGATCTGTACAATCCCCATGATGATGATCAGGGCCAGGGCCAGGAGCTTCCCAGCTGTGAAGATGTCTTGAACCCGAGTGGCCCACCGCACACTGAAGCAGTTGACCCATGTGAGGAGCACTGCAATGACAGACCCCCAAACATATCCTCAGGGCCATAAGGAGAATACCGGATCCCTCTGGACAGAAGTAGCAACGCTCCTTGGTCCTGATGAAGAGACTGTAATAGGTGAGCCAAAAATGCCGCAGGCTCATCACCAGCATCTGAAACTTTGGTGGGGTTAGTAGGTGGGGTTCCAAATGGGGATTGCATGCCACAAATTACACCTTGGTCAGAACATGCCCTGCTCAGGCTTAGAAGTTGGAAGTGAGCATGGAAGTGTGGGCACTGACTTTGGGGAAAAAATCAGCCTCTCATCAGGCCATGAATGTGGGCTCAAGATATTGTGTGCTCAAGAGGAGCCCTGAGCAGCTGGTAGAATCCTGGATGTTGTCTTCCTAAACCTGATTTTAGGGTAACAAGGTTTAGGGGAATCTTTTGTTACTCAGCTTTTTCAAGTTCTAATTTACATTTAGTAAAGCTCACTTTTGTAAGTGTACAGTTTGATGAGATTTGACAAATGTATTCAGTTGTTTAGTCACTATGACACCCTCTGTCTAGAACATTTCTAACACCCCTAAAAGTCCTTTTATATACTGTACTCCTGTGAGGTCAGCCCCTTTCCCTTACCTCTGGAAACAACCGATTTAATTTCTGTCCCCAGAATATTGCCTTTTCCAGAATGTCACATAAATGGAATCATACAATACACAGCCTTTTGTGTCTGGCTTATTTCACTTAAAAAGGTGGTTCTGAGATCCATTCGTGTTGCTGTATATATTAACAGTCCCTTTCTACTGTCAAGCAACATTCCATTACATGAATGTATTAGTTTTCTATTCAATAGGCAATGGACATTTGGGTGGCTCCCAGTTTGGGGCTATTATAAATAAAGCTGTTATAAACCTGCATAGAAATTTTTGAGTGGATCATAGAGGTCTTTGAGGGGAGTTTTCATTTCTTTTAAGTAAATTTCCAGGAATGGGATTTTGGGTCATATGGTGAATGTAGTTTGACTTTATATGAAATTACTGAACTGTTTTCCAAAGTGATTATATCATTTTGAATTCCCACCAGGAATGTATACTCCTGTTGCTCTGCATCCTTGGCAGCATTTGGTATTGTCAGCTTCAAAAGTCTGACCATTTCTAAAGAGTGTGTAGTGACATTTCATTGAGGTTTTGATTTGCATTCCCCTAGAGACTAATGCTATTGAGCATGTTTTCATGTTTATTTGCCACCATCCCCATATCTTCTTTGGTGGCATGGGGGGCTAGGAGTCACAAGGATCCCAAAGAAACACTAACAACATGGAACCTCCAAGGGCTGGCCGAGAGCTCAAAAGCTAAGTGACAGGACGGTTACCGCCACACTCCTTAAGCAACTTAGGGGAGCACAGGGGCTCTGCAGTAACCCAGCTTCCTGATGGTTATGAAGTACTTGAGAATATGGGAAAAAAATTAAAATCCCCTTGTTTCCCCTTCCCCTGAAACAGACACGAGGATGTGCCCTCAACCTCTCAGGGCACAAGCCATACGTGTAGTGAGACTCTCTCTTCTCAAGCCTCTAATCAGGCCTCTGATTTTACTTGAACAGCTGACCAGGTTCTATCAACACCTTCTCCTGAAACTGTGCTTCTACTTTCCAGGTATTTTACAACCTTACTTGATTCTGAGAGCATCTCCTCAGTGTAAGGACCTGACATTATTATCCATCTGTAACCTCCCTCCCCATGCTGTTTCTACCTGGGAACCTCCTCATCTTTCAAGATCCAGCTCAAATGTCACCCGTGCCATGAGTCTTTATTATTTTATTTATTCCTAACAAGGTGCCTGCCAGGTAAGATGTATCAGCTGCATTTTGTAGACAAGGAACAAAGTTCATACCTCCTTTCTACTCCCAGACCACTTTGTTAATAAGGCTGGTACTTATTTCTTTGTATTACAATTATCTCTTTCTTTTTTTGTGTGTCTCCTTGTAGAAGGGCAGGGCTATGACTTTTTCATATTTTTAACCCAGGGCATATCATTTGTCATTGTTGTTTAATTGCTAAGTCATGTCCGACTCTTTTTCAACCCGATAAAAAAAAATTGTAGCCTGTCAGGCTCCTCTGTCTGTGGGATTCTCCAGGCAAGAATACTGGAGTGGGTTGCCATTTCCTTCTCCTGGGGATCTTCCCAACCCAGGGATCAAACCCAAGTCTCCTGCGCTGACAGGCAGATTCTTTACTGCTGAGACACCAGGGAAGCCAGGGCATATCATTGGTGCCTGCATATAGTAGGTGCTCAACAAATACTTAATACTTGAATAAAAAAATGCCACAATTCATCAATCCTCCAGTCTCATCTCAGTCTACACATTCTACAGTGGGCACCAATCTCTCCAGCTCTCCAGGAACCTTCTCAGTTGGTTTCACAGCTGTCAAAACAGCTGCAGGACGCAGAACTTCAAGGGCAGGAACTCTTGATTCCTAGTGGAGGAGCTTTTATCCAAGATGGTGTCATATAATGAGAATCAAAACATGTTTTCAGAGGAAGGATTTCATGTGCCCGAACTAGGAGAACATTTTGTAAATGTTCCAGATGGGCTGAGATGTCCTGATACATACACATGATCTTGCTCAATTCAATAAGGATTTCAGGATCACATGCCTGCTAACAAGTAATTAGGCCTGTAATCTCAACTCCTCCCTAGGCCCCTAGGTACAAGGCTAGGCCCCTGGGCCCCTGGAGTTCAAGCAGACACAAGCAATAATGACTAAAGGATAAAGGAGACTGATATATGAAAGGAAGATTAGGAAACAAAACACTTGTGACTCCAGGAGAGGTAAGGATTACAGAATGAGGAACCAGATCATGATGTCATCATGCAGAGATCATCCTTGCCAAGGGGACGAGAGGGCAAAATGTGGTCACCTCCCCATGTGCCGGCTTAACCAGGCAGCCAGAAAGGCTTCTTCAGTGTTCCTGGGGACACGGAAAAGTTTGAAGGAAAGGACAATTTGTCAAGTTAACTTACCGTGCTTGTCTCCTGTCCTTCCTAAGCCTATCCCCACAAGAACCCAGCCCTTAACTAATCTTTAACCTCTAGCCTTTTCAGAGATCTTTCAGACATAATAGAGAAATCTTGAGAATAGGGTGGGGGAGATCGGCTGCCTGTGACACTAATCTCCTTGGACAATGGCTGCAGCCCCCTCCCCACCCCCGTCTGACCCTTGGCCCTACAGGTGATCACAGCCTGTGACCGAGGGGAGAGAAGGTACTTTCAGTCTCCCGGTACCCCAGGTTAGCCTCCCTCACTGCAGGCTGAAACCTGAGCTTCCATCCCAAGAGGAAAGGTCAGTGACGAAAGGCAACACTTGCCAAGACCCTGCCTTCCTCAGGCATCCTGTTTCTGTCTGTCTATACCCAGAGCCCTTTCTGTTGCTGAGGGCTATGTCCCCGCTCTCTTCCCAGCCAGATCTTGAATTCTGCATGCTTGAGATACAGTGACCTCAGGGAAGCCACATGTGGATGGTGACGAGGGGAAATTGCAGCTTCAGATGTGAGAGTCTCCATCCATCCTTCCATCCAACCATCATCTACAAAGAACCTTACTAGATACCCTGGTGGGGGGAGTTATAAATAAGACACAATTATGTACCTCTTCATTTCTTTAGGAAATTCACACTGGAAGAGGGGAGAAGGCTGAGCTAAAAGATCACAAAGCAACATGACAACAGTAGAGCTCTTCACAGAAGCTTGGCAGGCATCCACACGGAGCCCCTAGGTCAGCCCAAGGAAATCAGAGGTGCTTCCTTTTTCTTTTGGCCGAGCCCCACAGCTTGTGGGATTTTAGTTTCCCTTCATCAGGAATCAAATCCGGACCCTCAGCAATGAGAACTCAGAGTCCTAACCACTGGACTGCCAAGGAATTCCCCAGATATGCTTCTTATAGGTGAGGAAGATCCTAACATTAGAGAGAATTTTTATAATGTGGGGCTAGCTGGACAAAATAAACAGGAAGACAAAGATGGTTTCTTGTGCATTGTAATCTGACTGTGTGGAGGATTGCTGCTTCTCTAGAGGGCCCCATGGAATCCCAGACTTCTCTGTATTTCTTGGGCATCTTCTCCTCTCTTTTTGTTTCCTGGCTTATAAAAGGGTGGGTGAAAGGTTATCAAGAAGATGAGACTTCAAGAAGATGCTGAAGTCAGGCGTTGGTTACTTAATCTGCCCAGTTTGAAAACCTTAATGTCAAGGTAATGGGAGAGAGACAAAAAAATGAGGCAGGCAGGAGGAGGGGACTCAGAACCCAGTAATCTCTTACCCTGCCCAGAACCCAGGGCCTGGTAACTGCCAGGTAGGTGGGAAAGTGGGGCTCAATGCTTTCTGCAGTGGGAAAGCTGTAGGATCAGCAGAGAGGCAGAATCCTTGTCAGACCCATGACAATGCCTGTACCGATCTGGAAGGTCTACTGTGAAGAGGGTAGGTAAGCTCATGCTCCCTAAGAGAAGGTACCCCTTGCCCTAGGCCAGTCCTGATCCTCAAACTCTGATCCCCGGGGAGTCACAAAGTCTGTGATTCACTTCTCCGCTTGACAAGACACCAGAACTCCTGGGGCCTGTGGTGGGCAGACACACCACCTCAAAGGTGTCAACATTATAATCTTGTGAATGTTGCCTTACAAAAGGAATTTCACAAATGTGATTAAGTATCTGCAGGTGGGGAGATGATCCTGGATTATCTGAGTGGGCCCCGCCTCCTTATAACAGGGAGGCAGGAAGTTCAGAGTTACAAAAAGAGACTGTGATAATGGAAAACAGAAGTCAGAGACAGAGAAAGGCTTGAGTGCTCACTTTGGCAGCACACACACTAAAATTGGAAAGACCAGAGAAGATTAGCATGGCTCCTGTGCAAGGATGACAAGCAAATTCATGAAATATTCCATATTTTTATAGAAAAATTTATGGTTATCACAGGGGAAAGAGGGGAGAGGGATAAATTTGGAGTTTGGGATTAGCAGATACACAGTACTATATG